TTCTTTTTCCTTTTTTTTTTCTTTTTTCTTTTTTCCCCTCTTTAAACAAGGCAGACTTTTTTTTTTTTGAAGAATTTGTTAAACAGAAGGAGGGATATAGGAATGAACAGTGAGCTCCTTCATATTAAAATAGTGAGTTGGGTTAGAGCTCCAGCACCTCACCACTCTACCTGGGAAAATGAGAGAGCATCACGTTAGGTCATGCTACTGTCACAGCACAGTGACTCCTTCATTCCTCTGCGTTTGGGGGAATCTTGGTGTCACAAAAATAATGGTGACAAAATGAGGTTGGGACTGTGCTGTGTAGAGGAGCATTTCCAGGCTCTGACACATCCTGGAAAGATGGCACTGGGGACTGAACTGCCCTACTTAATCTTAGCTCAGAAATTATTTATAATGTGGGGCAAGTTTGGTAAAATCCCCTTTGTTTTCTTCAAAATCTGCCATCCGACCAGCAGCAGAGTGTAGTGCAGAGAGTGGTCCTGGGGATTAGACTAAAAGACTTGACAGATCGTCTTCTTCATCTGTAATTTATCTAATTCTGAGTATAATAACTGCATTTCCTGCTCCGGTAGTTTAGTCCTTAGGCAATCAGCTAAATAAACCCATATGTGTATATCCTGGTGTACCAAAGGGCTGGATCTCCCAACCTCACTGGGGAAGTTTCTCTCAACACACAATTGCTTAAGCCTCGCTTCCCTTCCCCCGTGAACACACTTTTGAATAAAAAGAGGAAATTCATTGTGAGAACCTTGGTGCTTTTCATTTGTATTCCCAGGCATAGCGCCGCCTCAGCCGGGGAATGTAAGGAAACGTTCAGTGCAGTGCCTGTGGCTTGTGCTGCTGTGGACAGGTATTTGCTTAATGTAAGGAAGAGGGAATTTGCTGCCAAGCATGCCAGATCTTGAGTATTATAGATGCTGTGTGAATTCCTGCTTGGAATTTACCAGCACAGCCGTGCCTAGGTATGGATGGGCCAGAGCCCTGCGTTAGGGTGGCTGCTGCCTGCTCGTCACGCTGCTGTGGGCCAAGGCCGTGTAGTGGATGGGGAGAGGTGTGCACCTGCCTTGCTGTCTTCATCAGTCTCCTCTCTTCCCTTGCAGATATATGTTGGGGAAAGGAGGAAAGCGGAAGTTTGACGAGCATGAAGATGGGTTGGAAGGCAAAGTGGTGTCTCCCACTGACGGTCCCTCTAAGGTGTCTTACACCTTACAGCGTCAGACTATCTTCAACATTTCCCTTATGAAACTTTATAACCACAGGCCATTAACCGAGCCAAGCTTGCAAAAGACAGTTTTAATTAACAACATGTTGAGGCGAATCCAGGAAGAACTCAAACAAGAAGGCAGCTTGAGGCCCATGTTTGTGGCCGCTTCGCAGCCTGCCGACCCTCTCAGCGACAACTTCCGCGAGGCGCAGCCGGCCTTCAGCCACCTGGCCTCGCCGCCCCTGCTCCCCCCCGACCTGGTAAGCACTATGCCCCTGGAGTCCTGCCTCACCCCCGCCTCTTTGCTCGAGGACGACACGTTTTGCACTTCCCCGGCTGTCCAGCACGACGGTCCGACGAAGCCAACACCTCCTGCTCTCCAGCCAGTAAAGGACAGCTTCTCCTCAGCCTTGGACGAAATCGAGGAGCTTTGTCCAGCACCTACCTCCGCAGAGGCAGTAGCAGCTGAATCGGCAGCCGGCGACCCTAAAGCCCAGCCCGGCGAGTCCAACATCATCCACAAGCCCGAGGGCCTCCCGGAGAGCAGAACGGCTGAATCCAAACTCATGGAGCCCCTGCCTGGCAACTTTGAGATAACAGCTTCCACAGGTTTCCTCACAGACTTGACCCTGGATGACATTCTGTTCGCTGACATTGATACGTCCATGTATGATTTTGACCCCTGCACGTCTGCCACGGGGGCTGCCTCAAAAATGGCTCCTGTCTCAGCAGATGAGCTCCTAAAAACTCTCGCTCCGTACAGCAGTCAACCAGTAACTCCAAATCAGCCTTTCAAAATGGATCTCACAGAACTGGATCACATCATGGAGGTGCTTGTTGGGTCTTAAAAATATTAGAAATATAGCAACTTTTGTTTTGTCTTTTTTCTTTTTCTTTTTTTTTTTTTTAATTTTAATTTTAAGTACCAGTATATACACTTGGTAGTATTTCCATAGTTCCTCCCAGCCCCGATTCACAGCACTGTGCATGCATCCTTGCTTGCCTTTTTTGATAAGAAAAGGATCACACTAGTTTTTGCTTCGAGCAGAGTTGGAGTGCCTTCATCCATGTATGACCACTTCTAATGTATTTTTTTTAAAGTGGTTCCTCAAGGAAGACCGAATATCCTGGTATAGGAAAGAATATGTATTGTAGACAATGTTATGTTATTACAAAAAAAATAAGAAAAAAATGGGAAAAAAAAGGTAAAAGCTAAGCACAAGGATTATGTTGGGGAAAGCTGTAAATTGCATGTGCATACTTGTCTATTTTTTCTATAAGTTTTATTGCAAGAGGTAAAAAATTTTATTATTTAGATAATCTCAATACCATTTTAGCCCTGTATAGGTTGACTTTAGCAATTCAGCCTTTTGGAGGCATTAACCTGCTCCTCTTTAAGTGTTGCATTTACATGGCTGTTTAGAAACTGCTGCCCAAATTTATTTTATATTTTTGTACAGATTCTGCAGTTTATGGTATTGTTTTTTCTAAAAACAAATGCTGTTTATACACACAAAAAAAATAGCTATTTTGATAGGATTTGCTCACATAGTTCCTGCATAATTCAGATGTACAAGAACCACTTGTACTTTTATACAGAGTTGTAATGTTTTATATGTGTATGGTGCAAAGAGAAAATTGGATCAAATAAGCCTGCAGTTGGTTTCCCTGAATGCAAACAACAACAACAAAAAAAAGTGCTTTAAGAAAGGGCTGGGAGCTGCTTCTGCCGGAGTTTCACAAGTGTTTGCTCCCTGCTGTACCCACTGCGCACTACTGTGATTCCCGAAACCTAGAGCCATGTCCTTTTCCAACATGTACGTGAAGCAGTTGGCAGGAAACAGTTGTGGAACTTCACCCCCGGAGGTCCTGCCAGACCCCCACCCCGCCTGACGGAGCCTTAACCCGGCGGAGATCGGCACCTCCTCGCCCGGAGCTCCCGGGAATGCTGGGGGGGGAGCGCCGTGCCCGGAGCCCACGGAGAG